ATAAAAAGGTTGCCGACCCCTGGTCTAGGTGGACCGATGGCCAAGACAGGTGATAAGGTAGGCCCGTTTGAATTGAGGACTTGTCTCTTTCTGAGGTGACCAAGTTCCGAGGCCGATGATAAGTCGTGGGCGGTTGTGATAGCGACTTTCACCCATGGTAACTCTGGCACTGTTACAAAGTTATTTTTGCATGCGTTTCCTTGGTAGCAACGAATTTTCTTACGAATAGAAGCGAACATGCGTGCCTCACGTTCTTATTGTAAAGAAGAGGATACGCGATCTCTGGAACCATAGTTTTATATTCATATTTATTTATTTATTTTTATATTTATATTTATTTATTTATATTTATATTTATTTAAATGCATACACCCACGCTCCCCGTAAGACAGAAACTTGGTGTTCTTTTTACATACGATATCACTATCTCACCCTAACCCTAATCCTAACCCTAACCCTTACCGTTTCCCTTACCCTAACCCTTACCCCTACTCTAACCCTAATCCTTACCCTAACCCTTACCCTAACCCTAATCCTAACCCTAACTCTTACCCTTACCCTAACCCTTATCCTAACCCTAACCATTACCCTTACCCTGACCCTAATCGTAACCCTAACCCTTACCCTAACGCTAACAGAAATTAATTGAGTAGGCATGTAAATATAAATAAGAACATTCGTTGCTACCAAGGAAGTTCCTGCCGTTATTTTGAACACACAATCCCGGTCTGCGTAACCTGATGGCAGCTGCTTCTTCATTTAATTGAGTTCAACGTTTAGGATAGGACCAGGGTTAGGATTACTATTACAGTTCATATTTGTGTTAGCATCAATGTGAGAATAAGGATACGTAACTGTTTATCAATTCCTAATGTATCGAAATGTCCTAATTTTAAATGGGCCAGCGGTTCCAATTCCTAAGTCTTGTTGAGTTGGCTATACAAGTCACGGTTAGTGTATTAATAATTAGGTTCGGCGATCAGACAGCCGTATTCCGTCTCTCTTCAACGTAGATGATCATTTACTAGGAAGGAAAAAGATTAAACCAACAAGTTGACATCTGCTGGCGAATATGGAAAAATTTAATGAATTTCAGGGTGGAGGATACAGTGAATTCCTTGAAATCATACGTAGGCGAATAAAAGTATATTACTTACGTGCAAGCCAAAAAACTTATTTAATAATTCAATCAGACCGTTTATTAAGCTACCTTTTCCTTCCGTAAAATTCCGGTTAGAGCAGCTGCGAGCCCTCTGCATCGTCTGTCAGATGTTTTGCTGATATTATGAACTCAAACTTCACAAGGAAGTCTATAGATATTGAATAGGAAAGGTTTTATTTTATTTCATTGCAGACTTATGAAGTCCAGGTTTACTAATTTTGTTACGTTATGCGGGTTCTCGTTTGGAAGGGGCCGCCCAAGCCTCTAAATTCCTTCTGACGTCCAACACCTGAAATGCAAGTGATCGTCTGATTTAGAGATGATGAAACCATAAGAATTGGACTGGACTTATAAATGCCTTATATTTGATACTCATTACCTTCTTGCTGCCCGCATAACGGGATTGACATTTCGAGGTCGTTGTGACTTCAAAGTGGGGAAAAATACTAGGCTATTGTTTATTTTATTCAATCACAGCAGTGGTGTCTTATATAATCCTTTTTATCTTCTTTATTCATAGTTGGTGAAGCTGCGATCCCTTCACTTCGGAAACAATGACGGCAACAAACCGATGCAGGATAATTTCCGGCCAGTCAAGTCACTGAATACCGGACATGCTCCCCAAACGCGAGTGCTCTACAAGTCCTGGTCTGCCTCGGGTCGTATTGTTCCTGCTCTCGTTCCGGTCGTCTCAGAGCTGACACTTGGCATGCTTTCTCGCTGAGCGGACATTTGTCATTTAGCTCGCCAATTGGTCCTTTTCGGGAAATAGACGTTCTAAATTTGTGCCTGTACTACAAGAAACATAAATACACTCCTCAAACAGGCTTCCATGCCTCTCTCTCTCTTTCAATATACGTCACGCTCCTTAACGCTATTGGATGGTCAATTAAGGAAATACTTAATGGGACATATGGTCAAACCTGGAAGCATTTATTCTTACAGATTTTCGCTTTATTGAAAAGTACTTTTGGCAAACATTTTTTTTTTCGATCACTCGTCATCAGGTCTATACACCGACATGAGAAATAACTCAGTCAAGTATCTAACGCATTTGTTCCCCGGTACAAATTTAAAACACACATATACGGCAGAATTTATTGGCGTCAATACATTTCGTGACAGCTCTTCAGCTGCGTCTTTTCGCTGCATAAGGATGAAAACGAAAAGGATCTGCAGCCGTTTGAAATTTCGCAGAATGGATGACATAACAGCAAGGATCATAGTTCGGTTTAAATAATGATCAGGTAAAGGACACTGCATTAATCAACGTATTGGAAGAAAGGAAGGGAGGGTGGAAATTGAGGGAAAGTAAAAGAAAATCACTTGGGGATTAAAATTAAGTAGCCAATTACCACGGTAATTGGAGGTTGACCACGTGGTCAAGCTGCTTGCATAGTTCAGGTTTCTCTCGTCGTATGTAGGCAGCTTCCAAGTAACGCAAGGTTCGAATTGTTCGGGCCCGAACAAGTACTCGAAATGCCATTTTGACGTCGACGGAATGACCGCTGTCTAGCAGATGTTTAGTAATAGAGGACCGTGGTACTCTGTCTTCTTGCTTGAATAGCCAGCTGGGCAAGTGTTCAGCGGCCCTGACCGCCAGTTGCCTTTGCGTGCGCCAACTGTACTTGCATCCACAAGTACATGTGAATTCGTAAACACAATTTGAGGTGGCATGCAATGGCAAGGGATCCTTTGCCCGGTTTACTGGAATTATTTTAGTCGGACTTCAGAAGACGAGTTTGGCAGCGTTGTAGGTCCTTTCTATAGTACAGCGCAACCGTCGCTTGATTGTATTTGAAATATCATCACCGTTAAAGGGTAAGGATATAATGACGGGCTTTTTTTGGAACTGAATGTTCCATCAATTTTGGCCCTAGAGAATTGGTGTAGTTCTGAATAAAGCGTGTGGGATAGCCGCAATGAAGTAGGGCTGTTTTGATGTGGGAAAGCTCTGCGGGCA